TAGTATCTTAACGATTTGATTAGAGCTCAGTTGCTTATTTGCCTGAACTAGGTAGAACCTGTGTTTCAGACTATTCAGTACAATATTTTTTATTTTAAAGTTATAAATAAATTAACAGTATAAAGTACTAAAATAAATCTTACATAACATAAAAGTAAAAGGTAAAAACAGCGAGTTAGCAGATTATCTGTCGACCAACAGTAAGTCTTCAGTCTGCGCATATGCAGTATTACGCAAGAACGCAATAACAGTTTTTTTACAATTAAAATAGTTTAATGTAAAAACGCTTAATTTTCTATTTAACCTATTGTACAAAAGTGGACCTAAAAATGAAAAGAATCTTTCGGCAAAAACATTTCTAGTTGCATTGGAACTGCATACTATATCATTCCGTCTCTTATTAGTATTGTTAGCATTGTATGAGAGCATAGTATGCTGCTTTAATACTACTTGTAAAATGAAGAGCTGGCGGACTGTTAGTACGTTACAAAATTTATATAGTTGATCTGTGGGATAGAAATAGGGATGGAAGTTTGCAACCTTTAAAATAGCTCTCTGAGCTCTTTCAAGAGGAAGCAAGATAGTTTTTGAAGCACCGCCCCATGATATTATACAGTATTGAACTACAGATTGACATAAAGCCAAATAAACCTGAGTGATTAGTTTTGAATCAGCAAAAGTTCGAATTCTTTTAAAGACATATATAAGCTTGCGCACTCTTTTTACAAGACTTTGAATATGATGTCTAAAAGTGAGTGTGTCATCAATTATTACCCCAAGATATTTGATGTTACGGGAATTGAGGATAAGAGGACAATCACACATGTGGACTGAGATGTTATTACATTGATGAGCGTATAAGTGAAAGTTATCAGTGATGGGTTGAGGTTTTCGCATAGAAAAGTGTACATATTTAGTTTTGTCAGCATTTAATGTTAGTAAATTGCTTTGAAGCCAGTTAGTCACAGTATTGAAACCTATTTGAGCATGTTCTTGCAATTCGCCAATGGTTTTAGCCGTAAAAATTAACGCTGTGTCGTCAGCATAAGATATAACTTTGCAGTGTCCAATATTAAGGTTACACAAGTCGTTAATGTAGACTAGAAAAAGCGTGGGACCCAAAACACTGCCCTGGGGAACTCCAAAACCAGTGTTCCGCTGTTCCTCGCTCGTGAAATTATCTATCCTAACGCATTGGTACCTGTTGTCTAGGTAATCAGAAAATAAAGACAGCGTCGTGCCGCGTATCCCAATGGCCTCTAATTTGTTAAGAAGCACTGGGATAGAGACTGTGTCAAACGCTTTCGCTAAATCAAGGAAGACTCCCAGGACCTGATTTCCTTTGTCTAGTTCTTTCGAAACATATTCGGTTAGATTATACACTGCATCAGCGGTAGATAACCTGGCTCTGAAACCAAATTGTGCTGACGACAGCAAGCTATTTTTCTCTAAAAAGTTGATTAGCCTGTTGTTAATTAATTTCTCAAGTATCTTTGACATTGAGGGAAGTACCGATATTGGCCTATAATTATTAATCAAATCTCGGTTTCCAGATTTATAGACAGGGATGACGATTGCCTTTTTCAGACAACTAGGGAACACTCCTTTGGTAAGGCAGAGTCGAAATATATGCGTTAAGAGAGGTACAAATATATGTTTAAAGAGCTTTAAAATATTATTGCTTATATTATCCCAACCCACTGCACAGTCGTTTTTTAGGCCAGATATGATACTTGTAATTTCGTTCTCATCTGTATCTAGCATAAAAAATGATTTTAGGGTGCTGTTGGTTTTTAGTTTTTGGATACAATGTTTCGGAACTTTCTCGGCTAAATTTTTCCCAACATTCACAAAAAAGTTATTTACTTTGTTTGCGGACAAGAGAGGTGAAGGATCAGTTAACAATAGACTAGAATTTGATTCACGTTGCTTAGTCATGAAGGTGACATTTTTAATATGTTTCCAAAGTTGTTTGCTATTTTTGCCTGCTTTATCCAACTCAGTTCTGTCGTAATTATTTTTCAGCTTCTTAAGGAGATTATTGCAGAAATTCCTGTAACGTTTATAGGTGTTTAGAATTATTAAATTATTAGGATAATTCTTAGTTTTTTGATGAAGTTTATCTCGGTGTCTAATGCACCTAATTAGTCCAGGTGTAATCCAAGGTTTAATATTACGAAGACGATTATTTATTGTCACTGTTGTAGTATTACGCAATATCGCTTGCTGGACATTTTTTATTAAGTACGACAAGGCTGAATTAGCGTCAGCAGTTTTGTAAACTGGGTTGTAGTCGATGTTACGTAAATCATATTCGAGTCTGTTTATGTTTAATTTAGTCTTGGTAGGTAGAGGATTTAGCTTAGGTAGCGTTAAATTTATGTTTAGTAGGACAGCATGATGATCGGTTATTGTTGAGTTAGTAACAAGCGTATAATATGAAAAGTTGGTTTTGACAAACATATGATCGAGACAGGAACCACTTTGATGAGTAGGCAATGTATGAGCGGGAAGCAGACCATGGTATGAGCATATATTAAGGTAATCTTGAATCCCTGCGTCGCAAGTTTCAGATCCAATGTTAATGTTAATATCGCCTGTGAGTATTACATTCTTATAATGGCTAAGTTGCTGAAAAATCTGTTTTATGGAACTGTGAAATGAGCTCAAGTTTCTAGAGGAAGGAGATCTATACATAGCAATTATCGCTGTGGTTGTACCAATTTTGATTATGAGACAGTTACTCGTGCAATCGGGAAGACTAAGTTCTTCGACATTGACCTTTAATGACTCCTTTGCAAACACAATAACCCCATCCCCCCATATGAATAATACATGCATATTGCATCCGTGCGAAGCCGGGGCGCGTCGCTAGTTACTAATAAATTATTAGTTAAAGAGATTTTAACTATCTAAGCAACAAATAAGTGGTTGTTGTTTGGTATAGAATTAAGGTATATAAGTATCTTTAAAAAAAATGAGAGAACTGAATAAAATTATTCATTCATTAATAATTATTTAAGGGAAATCCCTTTAGACTGACTCATAGATATAATCTGTGGACTGACTAGTTTTATGCTTTGAAAGAAATTGTCAATACGGATTTAGTTTATGTGAAATTATGAGTTTGTGAATGCACCTAAGATATAGAAGATAAATTTATGTACACTTCGGCATATCTTTTTAGGGATTAAACGACATGCCGTATCTATTTAATTAAAAAGTAAATGTAAGCAAATATTTTATACTAACTACACGCCCCGGTTTCGCACGGGTGAAATATGCATGTATTATACATGTAAATCTTCCTTAAGAATCACTCTATCTATCTATTAAACTGTCAAACACCAAACGGTCACCGGTGACCGCAACCTATTGTTCTATAATTGTGTCTCTATTAACGTTACTCGACGAGTTAAAAAAATCACTTCAAAATCCGTTCCGTAGTTTTACAGATCTAAGCATACATAGGAACAGGCAGACGGCGGATAGCTTTAGACTATGTAGTGATATACCTTCAGTAATGGTAGCAGCCCTAAATTTTCCTAAGGGCACTGCTAACTATCCGCATTGCTGTCTAAACTAAACTGCGAATGATTTACAGTGTGCGGAGAGCCCTAGGCAGATATCTAGGCGAGACTGGGATTAATGACTGCCTGGATTCTATCCTATCTTATCTAATGTACTTAACTGGATAGTTAATTTTCAACAGACGTTGTCCTGCATATCCACTTGAATGTATAAACAAAAATTCATTCAAATTAGTTCAGCTGTTTAGGATAAATAACTTAAACATCGACTGCAGCGCCAACTGCTGGGCTGATTTGTGAATCTAAACCATTCCCAGATCCCCTTGAACACACACAAAGAAATTCATCAAAATCGGTCCAGTCGTTTGAGTGAAGTTCAGTGACATACACACTCACAGAAGAATTATATATATAAAGATTATTATATTTTTGATGAGGTGGCCCGGAGGTATAAGATGCCCGCTTCTCATGCATGAGGGCGCAGGTTCGAAACCTACCAACGGCAAATACCGATGTGACTTTGTCCGAGTTGTGTGTACTATCTAAGATTATTTAGACACCACTGACAAACGGTGATGGAAAACATCGTGAGGAAACTTGGGCATATGATTTTTAATTATAAGTTTTAAATCGCCAACCCGCATTGAGCATAGCGTGGTGATTAATGCTTAAACCTTCTCCGTGTGAGAAGAGGCCGGTGGTCAGCAGTGGCCACTTATAGGCTGTTGATGTTGGTGCCATAAGCTTGGCAAGCTAGTTGGAGATCGTTGTTGCAAAGGATCAGGTTTATTATAGAACGTTACTGTCCGGTTTCAAATGAATAGTAAGTATACTTAATGAGATTTTCTAGAAAATTACATAATTTAATCAATATACTCGATAGGATTTAAATTAACGCAATAAAAATGTTCATTAACAATTACATTTTTACACTGATATCGTTTTAGTAGCCATTCCATTACATTTATGTTGTTTCTTAATTTTCAATTTGTGTAGAAACTAGCAAAGTATACACAATTTCCTATTACCATGTTGATCATCAGTCTAATCATCTTCCATGGTAAGTTCATATTTTATACTACTCCCGCGCGGTTTTACACGCTCTGCTCAGCTCCTATTGATCGTAGCATGATGTTTTATACCCTATAGTCATACTCGATACATGCGCTATCCAACACAAAAAGAATTATTCAAATCAGACTTGTAGTTACGGAGATTAGCGCGTTCAAACAAACAAACAAACAAAAAAAAACAAACTCTTCCGCTTTATATAGAGGTATATAAGAGTATAAGATTTTCTTCTGCTTCTGCCAGCGGTTTTGTCCGCGTTCTCGTGAGATAAAAGCAACCAATGTGTTGTTCCTGTCCATATTCTACCTCTGTGTCAAATATCATCCCGATCAATTTATGCGTTTCGACTTGTTTGGGTAACAAACTTTCACATAAACTAAAATGTTAGTTAGATTAGATTATATAACTTGTTCTTCTTTGATTTCAAATCCAGGGGATGTCAGTTTTAGCAAGTTAAATTGAGAATGATTTCGGTTAAATCAGGGAAAGTAATACTATTATTATTATTGCACAACAAAATAACTTAAATGTACATGCACTCTACGATGATACAGATATAAAAGCACATTTTAGAATAGAACATCTACTGCTCATCAGGAATGTTATGAGTTCTGAGTCTGTACAGACACAAAATTGGTCACTATTCCAGATTTCCAACTATGCTGAGAAATTTTCGAATACCGAAAAATCCCCAACAATATTTAGCACAGTTTGACCAATGAGGCGGTCAGACAGTCATTGGGGACAAATCATTACTATAATATTAATGTGCTTCCAGCAATATCTGCTTCCTTCTGCTACGATGTAGAAATCGAAGGTGTACTGAAACTAGGGAAAGAAATTCTAAGAGTTTTGGACAGAAATGAATATATTGCAAACAACCTCACTTTAGCTAATCAGATTTCATCAAAAGGTAAATTACCCAGTATGTCCAACAATATGGTTGAGTCAGCTGCGGAAAGAAGTAGAGTAAACATTATAAATAATAAATTTACAATGCATTTGGAAGAGTTCACATTATACCTCGGGAAACAAGGAGAGAAGGCTATTGAAAAAATGGGCAAACAAATCCTGTATGATCTGAAACTATCAAATAAAAATATAACATCTTTAGTAAACACCATAAGTAATAACTACGTGACCCTTTTACATCAATACTACGTTTTTCTTAATCAAGACATCAGTGTTGCGCTAGTCGAAAATGATTTTCTGTACCTAGATATGATTGACACGTATTGCCGGCTCTTGTATAATGGAGAAACAAAGCTGCTGAGTGACATTGTTATGAATAACACGGTAGAACTTAAAACCATCGAGGTTATAAATACTAAAATTTCGAGACACATTATTGTTGAGAAAAAAGAAAAATTGAATTACCTTTGTAAAAAATATAAAGTTTGTAAGGAGTATTCCACTTTCACTGATCGTTGTAGAGATCTAATTAGCCAATTATTGTTGCTTCCTGAAGCTAAATTCCAAGATTTTGTCGAAATAATGTCAGATATCTTAAAGAAACATAGTGATGTTCTTGAAGATGTCGCGGAAAAAAAAGATAGAAAGTTAATATTGTTAAAACTTAAGCACATATCTAGTAACATATTTAGTATGAAAGAATTCCTAGCTGTTCTAAGAGCAGTTATCTCACCAAAATTTAGATCAGTCACAACAACCGATAAAGTTCAGAGACATCAAACTATAGCTGCACGGATCCTTTTTGAAATAATCGATAAAGCACTAAACACGGATGACAATGTACTTGAGATAGATTTTGATAATACTATTTCATCCATTGACCAGTGGTCCAACGACGTGACTGAAGATGTTGAAGCTTTACCAGCCTTTGTTGATATTACGATGAGAATATTCAAGTATAGAATAACCAAAAATGCTAGAAAAGAAATCAAGGTATTAATTACAACGATATTGGGACAAGAGACCAGAGACCACCAGACTTTTCATTATTTGTTTACAGATGGATCGAAGTACGTTAGAGGGGGCGATTTTAATTTCGATGTTGATGATACAATGTGAAAGCAATAGGAATGATACTTTTATCGACAATTTTAATTGAAACATAAAAAAATATTAGAAGCTGCGTTTCTATCAATTCATTATAGTAAAACATTCCACTGTCCCTTGTTTTAACATTATTTATAATATTATCAATTAAAATATATATTTGAACTCAGAGCATTATGAAATTGATATTGTTCCTCCATTCTCCCTTTTCATATCATTTCGTCTAATTCTATTATTACTCTTCATACCATCATTTGAAGGTTCTTAGATCTTTCCCTGTTTTTACGATTATTTATTATTTACAGTTTGGCAAAAAAGAGTATCGTACCTGTGGCAATGTGGTGCACTACGACTCGATCGGTTTTAATGTTTGTTATGTTGGATGATTGTTTATTCACGGGATGTTTTTGTATATTAAATTTGATGATTTAATGAAAAATATCGGTTTAGCAACTACATCGCCTGATGGTAAGCGATTATGCGGCCTACGATGGAGTACGTCTGCCCATAAACAGCCTATTCACTCGGGCCTTGGAGACTTCCATTTATACCCTTCAGAAAACACATTCTCTGGAAAAGAACTCCACTCTTTAGCAGCACGCACAATTGTTCGACAGATCCAATCCAAGACAATTTTAGGTCCACATGTCACCGCATCAAACTCTTAATTCCAAGCTGTATCTATTCCATGATTAAATGAGATTCAGATTCAGTACATTTTTTGTTAAGTTCTACGTCTCGTTGTCTCTTTTGCCAAGACATACAAAACAAAGTCAATGATTTGACGATAACAATCTAAATAACAAGGTGATTAGCCTTTTTTATGTAACTAGGTCTCAAATTATCTGAATTAAGCTCGCAATTGTCACATGAAATTATGATGGTTTTTGTACTACAAAAACTGAAAAACAAATACTAATTTATTAGAATTACTTTTTGGGTTCTGTGTTTAAAAAGTCTCTTGATCTAAGCTGGAGGTAACTTAACCTCAATTTGAGGCGTATCATTAATAAGGAGATTCGTCTGCTCGTACCCTCCTACCTAATACGAAAAAATAGTCTTTAAAAATGGGTAGTTTGGATTAAACTGTCAAACACCAAGCGGTCACCGGTGACCGCAACCTATTGTTCTATAATTGTGTCGCGGAGAACCTAACGGGTAACCGGGGCTCCGGCTCGACGTGCAGGAGAAGGAACGGGGTGGTTTTTAGTCAGTAAGAGTCTGACACTCCCTTCCGCCTCACCCAGGCGGGAGCAGTCATTCGATGATTTTCCCCCCTTAAAAAAAAAAAATATTCTATAATTGTGTCTATAATGACGGTACTCGACGAGTTAAGATCAATCTTTTGTTTGTGGGATAAGTCAGTAAACGAGCCGACGGATCACCTGATGACAAACAATCGGCTCCGCCTATGGACACCAGAAACACCAGAGGTGTTACAGGTGCGTTACCGGCCTTTTGGGGATTGGAATTTTGAGGTTTGTGGGGGTTCGGGGATTAGGGACGCTGAAGAGGGGGGGGGGGTGTAATTGGGCATCCGGTAAACTATAGCCTACTAAACACAACGAAAGCGTTGTTTCACGTCGGTTTTCTGTATGGTCCGGTCGAGCTGGCCCATTCATGCGAATCACGAAGCATGGCTTTCGAACAGAAAAGAACTTTTATTTGGAGACACGAATGAAAGTCATTAAGTTTTATCATTCTTCTTGAGACTGCATGCGTTTACTTAGATGGTTGGAGAACTTTACTCTGTTTTAACACGGACGATGGCGCGAGCGGTCATAGTAAGTATACGGAATCCTTTCAAATGAGCCTCACTCGTAATTGATCAGACTTTTAAATATAAAATACAACTTAATTCGGTCTGTCTGTCTGTCTGTTGCCTCGAGTGCTGTTTAGCATATATTTCTACTTTTTGTGCACCATCGTGTTAGGTATTTTATCGTTGTGTGTCTGTTTGGTCTCATACAAATGTAAGATACCTAAGCTTGTTATAAACTATTTGAAATTAGTCTAAATAGCAGTCAGTCTGAAATAAAACACAAAGGATCCAAAGAGATATTTGATAATCTGAGTATTTAGGAACTGCAGTTCAATGAAAAATCCTTAATCTGAATGTCATTACACATCAAATACTGATTCGATTTTGATGAATCCTTGAATAGAGGTAGATTAGACCGTTAAACATTTGATGAGGCTATAATTACTAGATACATATAACTATTATTGTTTTACCGCAATAGAAGTCTTTAAAGGTTAGATGGATAGAAATTAACATGAAATACGTATTGTATAAAAACTTTATAATATTTTCTCTCTAACGACCGTAGACCGTAGACGTATTTTAATATGAATTAAACGGTGACCGCAACCTATTGTTCTATAATTGTGTCTACAAAACCGGTACTCGACGAGTTAAAATCGATTCCTTAAATGAAATTCCATACAATTAATGTCAAAAATTGATCCATATCTACAGATTTTGTTTTTTTTGGGCTAAGCCCGCTACACCCTTCAAAAACCGCAACTTCTGTAAGCCAGGATCTACAGTAAATTCAACCACGAAAATACTGGAATACTGAAGGCCGGTGCGTCCCAGCGACATGAATAACAGTCTTGGTTCTCGTAACGCTTGTAAAAAATGACTGCCTAATCGGCCGAGTGGTCGCAAGTGCGACTGCCGGGCAAGGAGTCTCGGGTTCAATTCACGGGTCGCGGTAAGTATTATTGGGTTTTTAAAAATACTCAGTAGTAGCACGGAGTCCGGAATTGTGCCCGATATATGGCAATAGGCTCACCCCCTATTACATGGAACTCATGACATAAATAGTGGAAAGTGGGTGTTACATTTTAACAGTGGCACTGGCATTAAGTGCCGTAATGTGCACCTCTACCTACCCCTTCGGGGATAAAGGTGATGTTATGTATGTATATATTGTAAATAGAGGAGAAGATAGCTTCCACTTCATATTGAGACAGGTTATTCACTTCGGGCCGTTAGACAGACGTACCAACAGATTTTCTATCATTCGGACATTTACAAGCAATCAAACAGTCTGTTTTATATCCGACGTCTGATTTGCTTCCGAATAAGTCGACATGTGAATCACTTTCGGTTTCCCAGAACAAGCGTGTGAAGTTTTAGATTTACGAGTATTTGTGTTCATTTTCGTTTTGATTTCGCAAAAATACAGTGTGTTTATTTTTGACGAAAGGGTATAAAAATAAAATTTGGTGTTGCGGGTGTACATGGACGGCGCTGATCGCATACCATCAGGTGATCCATCTGCTGTAAAAAAAAACAGATGTGTAAGTACAATAAGAATTTGATTTCTGTATAAGTTTACTCGTTTTGTCTTAGATTTTGTTTTTGTTAAGTCAGCTTCGTTTATTTTACACCATTCCATGCAAAATAGCACGAGCGAGAGAAAATAAGAAAGTGATAAGAGAGGGTGTTGCTTGGCCTCTGTCTGAAAGCACAACAGCCCGTTCTGCTACTGAAAATGTGGAAATTGAAAATCTCTAAAGAAATTTCAATCTGAAGATACATGTTACTATTATGTAAATTAACAGTTTCTATACAAATAAACATCCATTTAATGAATAATATTTTTTTATATTAAGTTCAAGAGTTTAAAATGTCACCATGTTGCCTCTTGATATTAAAATTATACAAAATGTCAAACGACAAGTTTCGCAAATGAGTCATACCTACATTATGTATATTATTTTCAATTCTTTTTGCGTTCCAGCGTTGATTGCGTTTATGTTTTATTGCACTCGTTAATCTGTTATTGAGAGTTGAAAGGGAAAATTTCCAGACTTGAGTAAAGAAAGAGAAGTTGAATAAATACTTACATACTTAAATACTGCTGCGATACAGAAGTAGAAAGGGTCAAAGAAGACCAAAGAAAACATAGATTATCGCGTGATACCACGGCTTTATTAAAAACCGGCGTGGAATAACGCTTGCGTTTGTCTTTTGACGTGTGAATGAGGTTACGAAAAATTCATACCAAGAGGATTTGGACATTTTGAGAGGACTTACACGCGCGTTACCAGCTTTTTGTGGTCCTCAACAAAACTTCTCTAGTATTTACATTGTAACTTTCGTGAGACATACTAAATCAATTATTATGTTTTCGGCTTACTCACGTAGTAATTTGACGAGGAACTCGACTAGTTTCAAGCCATGCTAGAGGCTCATATAGCCGAAAACATAATAAACTTCTCTAGTGTTGCTGATGTCCATGGGCACCGTCGTTTGGTTACCATCTGATGATCAATCAGCTCGTTTGAAAAGGTAAGCATATCCCTTAAAAATCAATATTTTCAATATGATTGCATTCTCTATACCTAAACGTTACTCTTGGGTCTAGCAGGGGCGATGAAGTTTGTATGAAAGCTGAGTCTAGCAATAAACATGACGACTGTTACCAGCGGGGACTGGCAGTGGGCACGTGCCACTAACAATGGCACTTTACGACCAGCAATCTTTGCGTTTATACGCAAATAACTAAATGGGGAGTGGGTATAGTGAAGCTATTGCAGTAAAACAACTAGGTAAGATTTATAGAGACCTATTTCTATCCTCTAAGAGAGAAGTTTATATTTATCATGGGTAAGATTTTGACAGTCTTGTTCATCAAGTGTTCTAAGACTGCCTTGTTGGCCGAGTGGTCGCAAGTGCGATTACCGGGCAAGGGGTCTCGGGTTCGATTCCCGGGTCGGGCAAAGTATTACTGGGTTTTTACAAAATTCTCAGTAGTAGCACGGAGTCTGGAATTGTGCCCGGTATATGGCAATAGGCTCACCCCCGTTTACATGGGACTCATAACATAAATAGTGAAAAGTGGGTGTTACATTGTACAGTGGCATAATGTGCACCTCTGCCTACCCCTTCGGGGATAAAAGGCGTGATGTTATGTTACGAACCAAAAACCCCTTGCCCGGCAGTCGCACTTGCGACCACTCGGCCAACGACGCAGTCAGGTCGTTTCTGTCAGATTCAGGTATTCATTCTCAGATCACCTGATCCATTGCCTATAATCTTATAGCTAGTCAGCTTCAGGCTACCGACAAGGAGAAATACAAGAAGCTGACGGCCGACCTTC